AACCAACAACAACAACAACAACAACAACAACAACAACAACAACAACAACAACAACAACAACAACAACAACAACAACAACAACAACAACAACAACAACAACAACAACAACAACAACAACAACAACAACAACAACAACAACAACAACAGCAGCAACAGCAGCAACAGCAGCAGCAACAATAACAACAACAACAGCGACAACGACAAGAGAACGGTGACGACGAAAATAGCAACGAGAATTATTATTGTCATTATAATGTATGTCACACACGCGAAAGCGAGATGTTTCAGGGTAGAAACGTTTACTTTTTCCAGAGCTTTTTCGTAGGCTATACGTTTGGGGGTAAATTATGGATAAACACCTAATCTATATCCATGCAGACGTACTTTTCCAGAAGTATAAATATTTTCCAGTATTCATCGCTCGCAGTTGATAAAATTTCATGATTTTCATTTCATAAGGTGTGTACTCGACCCATAATAATCTTTACCAAGATAGAAGATTTCGATTCAGATGCTGCAGCACCAAAAGAGTTTGTCAATATGATTGTCGTTGGACTGGTTACGTCCATACCTATAAAGGCCTGAAGAACTATGTGGTACCAAATGGCTATTTTATCACTGGGGCAAAAAGTCACCACGACGACCGCCACGAGTAAGTTCAACAATCATAATTCCTCACAGGAGGTTTTGCTTTCATTTTGGGCACGATTACAGGTGAACCACGTCAAGCGTTCCTCTTTTGAGTTCCTAGCTTTGATTGCAATTTTCTTCATAACTTTGCAAATTTGAAAAACTCGCTTGCAGATTCCTTGAGAGAATTAAGAGCCAATTCAATTTTCCTGAGTTCCTGTTATAGAAGTTCTTAACTTCCTGTTACAAGTTCCTAACTTCCTGTTCTGTTCTGTGCGTTGTAATTGGCTAACAAAAATAATCCACCAACGACAACGCCCAGAACAGAACACGACACGACACAACACAACACAACACAACACAACACAACACAACACGACACAACACAACACAACACAACACAACACAACACAACACAACACAACACACACACACAACACAACACAACACAACACGACACGACACAACACAACACAACACAACACAACACAACACAACACGACACAACACAACACAACACAACACAACACAACACAACACAACACAACACGACACAACACAACACGACACAACACAACACAACACAACAGAAAGTCAGGAAATTAAAACAGGAAGTTAGGAAAATTCAAAAGGAAGTTTCTCAACATTGGAATATTGCGACAGCCGATAGAAACATTAAGTTTGGTTTCCAAATGGTCGTAAAAATAGAATCACGATCTCAACACCCAGTTTATAATAGTTTATACCTGTAAACCACATATAAATCATAAGGATTCTCTAATTCCAATCATTCCGCGCATTTTCAGTTCTAAAATGTTGTATTTCGGCTAATGAGAAAGATCGTGATTCAAATTTTATACAACCGTTACGATCATATGCAAAACAGGCTTTACAAATTTCCTCAAGGGATTTGCAAAAGGTTTTTCAAATTTGCTAAGACAATTAGGAAAATTCCAATTGAGTCAGTAACTCAAAAGAGGAAATTAATTAATTATTAATTTCTTAATTAAAGCGCTTAAAACAAGTAAATACGGTATACTGTTTGGGTCTGGGTGGGCGTTTCTCATTAAAGTATACAGCTAATTCAAAAAAGGTTGTCCTTTGCAGACCTTAAGCTTTAAACTTTGAACTCCAAGCGTGCAAAGCATAATGGGACATAATTTAATCAGTTTAGAAATCATATATGGGGGCCATTTCTTAGAGACATGGTAAATATCTTCTTACGAGAACAATTCATTCATAAATAGCTGCAATATTCAACTACTAAGCTTGAAATCTGTGCTCCTATTAAGTTTTGCACGCTTAGAGTTAAGGTTTACAAACGACAACCTTTTCTGTATTGGCTGTATATGACATCATAATGTCTCTTTCGTGTTTTTTAGGGACAGAGTATGGCGATTCTTGATATGTCGTTTTCATTGAGGAGTTCTTGAAGTCCCGAAGGCCTACGTGCAATTATTGACCTTTTTCTATGTTTTATACTTACTTTTCTATCTTTTATAAATAGTTCATTAAAGCGAATCGCTGCATCTTCAGTTTTTTCTTATTAATGTAATTTTAATAAACGTTAATTAATGTATTTGTAATAATGTTACGAGTATTAAAATAAAATGCAATAAACTCTATATTCTATTGTGTCCATGCATGTAAATTGTATTTCATAAAATACGCACAGATTATTGTGGCCTCAGTTTTATACATACGTATTTCCACAGATTTACAATCCAAACAAAGTAGGAACTCTGCATGTGCGGTCTTACAATATTCACAGTCTATCGCCCGTATTCTAAAAGCTCACTCACACTCAATGAGTGGAGGTTCAATCTGAGCTTCTCTTGAGTGTCAATGCTGTTTTTGAATAGCTGGAGGGTGAGTAGTTACCAAGTAGGTATGACACTAGCCCTCCAGCTATTCAAAAACAGCAGTTAACACTCAAGAGAAGCTCAGATCTTCACTCATTGAGTGTGAGTGTGAGTGTGACGGTGAGCTTTTAGAATACGGGCGTATGACTCTGTATAACTTTGAATAAGCTTGGATGCATATCATCTGACATAGTCGCGCTGGAACTAATTCTCATGCAGCTTTTAAAAAATTTCAATTTATATATATATATATGAATAACGCACGACTTTCGAAGTAAAAAACAGGCAACCTGCTGCCCACCATATACTTTGTATAGCGCTACAATATAGGTCCGTCATTACAGGCTTCAGTTATTCCGCGTTGTATCCCAAAGGTCACGGGTTCGATTCCCATCGTGGCCAAGCAATTGACTTTTCAGCTAATTGCCCGGTATGGATGCACACTCAGAGTAACATCACAAACATCATATTCACCTAAGAACATATAACACCAACAAACATAAATATCATATCTTAGAATACACTGATATCGAAGGAACTAGACTCAGTTCCGAAATATCATCAACTCGAACCGACTTGACCGCGTAGCTCAGTTGGCAGAGCATTGGACCAGTATTCCAAAGGTTGTAGGTTCGATTCCCACCGTGGCCAAGCAATTGACTTTTCAGCTTGCCCGGTGTGGATGCATACTCAGAGTAACATCACAAACATCATATTCGCCTGAGTACATAACACCAACACACATAAATATATAAAAATTGTTTAAAAATACATACACTAGCGTCGCGAATTTACAATCAGGAAGTTGTCCAATTTAATAAGGTTGTTTGTTTCAGTTGGGAAAATAACTCACTTATACTGAAGCTGAAGTGTAGAGGAAGTTCATAAAGTCGCTTCTACTCATTCGAGTTGCCGACGCTACTGCATGCAGAATGTCATGATGAGAAGAACATGCCATGAGACATATATATCCGGAGTCGACATGAGACATTTCATGCATGACATTTTGATCGATATCAGGGGAAGTGCCGTGGTTCGCTTTAAAACGAGTTTCTCGTCTGCACACTTAAAACTCCCAAATTGCCAACTAGCTAGTCACGGAATGCAAGTCTGCAAACAACTTATACAAATCTGTTGACCAGCTGTACGTGTTCGCGCTGCTTGTTCCTAGTTGTTGTAAAATGTTCAGTGAAACAAGCTGTTAATTGTAACAACTTGTAACAAGTTGATGGCGTTATCGGATTTGTTACAAGGGTTTCTTTAAAGGCCATGTAAAGTCCGTAATGTAAACAAACGCTTTGTTTACATTTTGAACTCATGCAGTGCTACAGTTGTAAAATATGATTAGATATAAAATTATATTATACTGAATTTTTAACACTCTTCTGGTTCGCTATATGCTTGTAAATGAATACATGCAGACAGACTATAAAGATTCAATTCAAGAAAGTTCGGAAAGTGCGAAATATTAATAACATTCCAATTGTCGGGTCCCGACCATCGGAATGCATAGGCCTGCACAGTTTAACCGGCCCTCTTTTAACCGGATTGAATAATATTTTGCTGCCCACAATATTCAACAATATTGTTGAGCATGAATCGGGTGACATAATATCTGTTGAATATTGTTGGCAACTGTGAACAATGTGGACAGCAAAACATTGTTCAATCCTGTTTTCATCAACTTTACAACAACCTGATCGTTTTTAGTCGTGTATATATACCAGATAACCGAACGGAAATATTTGTTTGTTGATCGTGTCACAGCAAAAAATCATTTTCTTATTTTAAGAAAATTTTCTTGAAATAAGAAAATTTTCTTGAGAAACCTTTCTTAAATTGAGAAAATATTTTCTTAAAATAAGCATTTCCTCCCCAATAATTTCTCAAATCAAGAAATATTTTTCATATTAAGAACATTTTCTTGTAATTCTCCCAAGAAAACAAGTTCTTGAAAAATGAAAATTTTCTTAAAAATAAGAAAATCATTTCTTATTTTAAGATTAATTTCTTAACATTTTATTTTTAAAATTATTTGAATTAAGAAATTATTGGGGAACAATATGTGGACGCCGGAGGGAAATTAGCCAGCTTATCTCGACGTACAAACTATTTGAAAAATATAGTTTCAGCTATATAGGGTGTCTCAAAAAATTTGTCCTAGTTAGAAATCACTCTTTTGCGTTATTATACCTTTGGAAATCTAATTTAGTTGTACATGAACGGCAAGAGTATTTACACTACTTCCCTTCGTCCAAATATTTACATGAAAATCAGTGACATATCTATAACATGTAAATGCATATAATGAATATAATATATAGATGTATATAAATTATAAATGTATAGGTATAATATTCGTGTAATATTTTTGTGTGTGTTGGTGCATGTAATGTACTCAGGTGAATATGATGTCTGTGATGTTACTCTGAGTGTGCATCCACACCGGGCAAGCTGAAAGGTTTGCCTGACCACGGTGGGAATCGAATCCGCGCGACCTTTGGGCTCAGGCACAGTGGTGAGGCCCACCAAGGGTGTAACCCAGGTCCCTTGTCACTCATTTTGTAGCTGCTTTGTCGCTTGTTTTATCGTAATAAATGTCGCTGGCACTTTTGACCCAGTCAGATAAATGTTTTATTCGATAATAAATGTCGCTGTCGCTTTTTCCCAGTCAGAAGCTAGTGTCGTTTGTCGCTCTTTTTTAGATAGTCCATCGCCTCTTTTTAAGTATAATGTCGCCTGTCGGTATAACCCCTTGGTGCAGGGTCTCAGTGGTCAGGAAAACTGTTCAGCTTGCCCGGTGTGGATGCATCCTCAGAGTAGCACTACAAGCATCATATTTGTAATGTGTTATGTCATTTTCCATTGTACCATGTAAAATCCTGATGAATTTATCGTTGTTAAATAAAGTTCACTTACTACAAATGCAGTCGGGTTCGGCCTATAAGTGAAGCGACATCATCAAGTGTTGTCGCTCCAGAGTCGAACAGGATTTGTAACTATAGTAAGGCTTCAGTTATTCCGCGTAAAATTGATTAAAAACACGCACTAAATTATCATGAAAAGTGTAAGGAAGTCGTGCATTTAATCATGGTTCTTTGTTCGCGAACGCTGCTCAGTTAAGCTGAAAATATATACATTTATATCCGACCCATTCGATGCAAAGGTGTGACTTGGAGCATGCGGTGATTGGGTATATTAAGGAGGACACAACGCTGTTTTATATTCACTCCTTGCTCGGCAACCTAAAAGTGAAGTTGGACATCTCAATTCTTCTGCTTTTGTGAAACTTTTCAGGTAAGAAAAACAAACATGTGTTCACACAATTAGCCTATGTTATAGGCTACGACAGCGTAGGTAGGCCTAGTTGTGTCCTTGATTTGCGAAAGTTACAATTAAAGTATACAACTCAAGTTATGACCATTATATAGTCGGCATGTAGTATTGACCTTGCCACACCTAAATTAATCTATGATCGTTGAAATTCTCGTAATGTCCGAGTTCGAGCCATAGATTATATTAATTATTATAGGAAGAATTTTTTGGATTTTCGAATCGTTGCAAAAATATCCATGAAGGATTTGGGTTTTTTTTTGCCAGATTTTCAGCGAATTTTAAAAGTTCAGTTTGGCAAGATTTTATCATTTTGAAGAGCGTGTGCATTCGCAAAGGGATTTTTGCACTTTAAATGGGGAATTCGATGTACTGCAATAATTAAATTTATATTCTGGAAAATAGTAACCATATAATCTACAATTTTACGATTTGTTTTGTAGTAAACGACGATGACGCCAGTCGCTACTTTGGCAAGCTTGATCCTTCTTGCTCAGATAATGAGCATTAACGCAGTTTTAACCAAACCTGATGCGACATTTGGAAAACAATGTCCAGCTGGTATGTTGCTAGATATTATTTTTAACTGTCTCACATAGGCTATACACCCATGGCCATGCCTTTGGGCCTGTTTTGTAAGCGGGTCATGTTTTATTGGCCCTACAGACTGCATGAATAAATGTATAAAGACAATATATTTCCATAACAGGTTTAAATAACATAATTTAAAATGTGCTTTTTTGAATTATTTTTTTATGATCGGGAAAATTGATATTTTCTTAATTTTTTTCTTAAGGTTACAGAACACCTTTGAGTGTTAATTTTGCCTAAAATTTTTTTATTGGTTTCCATGAAAGCATTAGACTAGTTCTACTATCTGACAAAGTTTGAACGAAAAATGTTGAAAACTCGCGGAGTTATTTAATAAAATACATTTCGCTGCAATAAGAAAAACATTGAAAATGTAATATTCAAATTCAATTTTCTCCCGAAGATTTTACGGGTAATTACTGATTTTCAAACGAGTTGTGCTCCTGCGGGTTTTGACCAATTTTTCTCAAATTTTCACAGGACATAGCTAAAGACGTCAGTTTCAAAATTGTGTTCGGCTTTTTCTTAGTTTTGGATATTTTAATAATAAAGAGCAATTCACTCAAATAATTCAGAAATATATTGCAGTCGTCAAAGAAATCGCCATATCAGCGGAATGACGAAATAAACAAAAATTTCCGGACAGAATTTTTTAGAACAACTATTTTACTGTATAAAAATGATATTTTCATAAATATAACTTAAAACCAGCAGGAGCACAACTCAAAAGCGTAACCGGTACCGCGATTTAAGATTTTCCTGAATAATTCTTATATTATTTTATTGTTTGTTAATTTTACAACTTTACCATATTTTGCATGCACTGGAGAACATTTGGTGAAAATTTGATGAAAATCGGACTGATAGTTTTTTTATTTTTTTTTTTTAACAGCTTTATTAGGAACTTAATATTACATTAATAAGGTACAAATACAACAAACATGCAGTTTGATATGTATCTGGCGGTTGAAAAACACAAAATAATAGTTTAATTAAATATTGTCAATTCAAATACCGTTATCATTGATGCTGTAAAACTGATGGTGATGCCGCCATATTTTATACAAAACTTACTGAACTTTAGACATCGTTTTCTCTCTGGCGTATCATCTAAATCTCTTCATTAGTTCATTTTTATAGCACATAGATTCGCAGATAAATCACTAACTGACATACTTTTTAAGTTTGTTTGCCGCTTGAGAAACGCGTTGAAAATTCAAAAAATTGAGTAACATACAAAAATATATTTATGATAATAGTATACACAAAAGATTCTCCTCTTAAAATATAATATCTGTTATAGACTATGGACAAATTGCCACATGTTTAGAGACTCTACTCACTTTGAAGATAACACATCATGAAATGATTAAAACACGGTTTGGTTAAATTTGTGAAAAATTAGATGAGAAATTTATAGCAAAAGTTTGCCTTTCCTTGCCCGGCAGAGTGAACTGAAATACATAATTTATATAGTCTATTGTATCATTTGCACATGCAGTCTCACAGCCTCTATATAATGTTCAACTTTAATTAAAAATACCTTGAAATACTGTGTGTTTTTATACAGCAAATGTTTTCGTCTGACTTCATATAAATTATTCTGTAGGTACTGGTATCTCTCGTATAATAAGCTACTACAGCAGTGGTCACAAAGATCGCGCATGGGCATTCTTCTGCAGACGCGACTTGAAAATTACAAACACTTGCGGTTGGTCAGGTTGGTTAAATTGGTACGAACAAGAATTACTGTTCCAATGCCCAACTGGAGTTCTTACAGGTAATGTATAATTAATAAAAAGTAACCGTCCCTAAATACTTAACAATTAGTCGCCGAAAGCGAAGTGATTACAAGCCTATATTCACTGAGCCGAAGGCGAAGTGAATATAGGCTTCACCGAGAATTAGGGGACTAATTGTTTTAGTATAAATTTCCAGGTGTTTACAAATAATAATCAACACAACTTTATAAAAATTCACTTCAAATTTGTTCATCCTAATTGATAACACTATAAATAGGTTGTTTACATAATTTAGATCTCGGACAGGGCTCTGTGTCGCGTTGCGACGAAGCCAGTTTTTTCCAAATAAAAGCACATAAAGTTTTATATTTTATCTTGAAATATTTTTAAACCATATTTTGTAGCTTGTTTGGGGTTTTTCGGAACGCTATCTTCTTTAATTTGGGCAATTTCCTCTTCTGTTACTACGGCAAAACGAGCAACCATTTTGAAAAAAAAAGCAAAAGGCTATAGTCACTGACCAGTGACTGTCACTTCAGAGACAGTGAATCTTGACCAATCAGAATGCAGGAAAATCAATAGTCACCCAGAAATTTATACTAAATAGTATAGGTTGAATTATATTAAAGAAATTTAAATGTGTTAATTTAAAACATCACAAAATAGGCTTTTTGAAAAGTAAAACAACTAGCTACTAAGTAGTAATAAGTGTGTTTTTATATAACGATCTTTTCGACACTGCTAAGTGCTAACATTGTATTTGTAGCAAGATTGTTTTTTGTTCGGCAACATACAATTTATCTGGTTATAATTTAGCCAGTAGTTTTCTGCGTTGTTTCAGGGTAAAACTAGAAAAGTTTGCGTTCCGCAGAGCTTTTTCGTAGGTAGTTTGGGGGTAAATTATGGATAAACACCTAATTTATAGGCACATAGCCGTTAAGACTGACTTGACGTATACTTTTCCGGAAGTATAAATATTTTCCAGTGTTTATTGATCACGGTTGGTAACATTTCATGATTTTCAATTCATCAGGTGTTTTCTCGACCCATAACAATAATTATCAAGACAGAAGATTTAGATTCAGATGCTGTCGCACCAAAAGAGTTTGTCAATATGATTGTCGCTGGACTGGTTACGTCAATACCTTTAAAGGACTGAAGAACTATGTGGTACCATATGGCTATTTTATCACTGGGGCAAAAAGTCACCACGACAATCGCCACGAGTAAGTTCAGTATTCATTCCTGCTAGGAAGTTCTGCTTTCATCTTGGGCGCGATTAAGTGTTGCATTGTTAATGTTGTGTGATGCTTTTTCGAAGGCGTAGTTAGTTTTTTGATAATCATTTGGTCGCACATGCAGTGCTAATTCGAAAAGGGCGCGTATAGACGAATAAATTAGGTAGTGCTTGGGTCTGGGCATAGCCTATCGAAGGGAGGATGAAACGCATTGGAATAACAATGTGAAACCGGCATTGGAATAACAATGTATAACTCGTTATTTATGCTAGTTAACGCTTATTCATAAATCTGGTCCGTCACGTGCGTCTTTTATTTTTGCCAAATCCACCAATTATAGTATAATTTTTAATGCTATCGACTAATTTTTTATCTATAGACAAGAAAAACAAAATCTATCATTACGTAGCTCAAAAGAGTATCCTAAAATTAGTAAAATTGCAAAGTTTGGTTGCGAAATGTTGTGAAATATGGAAAATATAGTCCTACGAAATGAGCGGAAAATTTTGTGCATTTTAGTATTACGCGCGGAAAAATGCGCAATTTCACCGGCTCAACTAAAGTGGTGCGTAATACTAAAATACAGTCAAAATTTGCTAATTTTCGACAGGGCTATATTTTCCGTGATTTTATAAAATTTTGCAACCAAATTTGGCAATTTTACTAATTTATAGATGTTCTTTTAAGCTATCAAATGATAGTTGTCGCCCTTCTTGTCCGGATCAAAATTTAGTCTACAGCTGTAAGTCATCCATTTCCCTTTTGTTCCAGTCAGATGGGTAACTTTTTTAAAACATTGCCATTGGTTAGTTCGGAAAAAATACAATACGCACGTGACGGTGAAGGACCAGATTTATGAATAAACGTTGACTAAAATAGAGAATGAGTTATATTGTTATTCTAATGAGTTTCATAACCATCTTCTTCTCGATAAGCTATGATCTGGATGGGCATCACTCATTAAAGTATGTATGACATGATCAATTAATATATATCTCTTTCGTATATTTTTTTAGGGACAGAGTATGGCGATTCTTAATATGTCGTTTCCACTGAGGGGTCATTGATGTCCTAGCTCATGCAATTATTAATTGATCTTTTTTTATATGTCTTACGTATTTTTCTATCTTTTATAAATTGTTGATTAAAGCAAATCGCTGCATCAGCTTATTTTTTTCTTATCAATGTAATTTTAATGAACGTTTATGAATTTGTAATAATGATTTATGATCTTTCTTTCATGTTTACGAATAATAAATTGAAATAAAAAGCACTAAACTCCATTCATCGTGTACTGTTCAATTATAAGTGTATATAGATGAAATGTTTTCGAGTGAATATTTATCATTTGTATAATAACGTTAAAAATTAAAACGTTTTCATTGGTCGAGAGCCATGATCTTTTAGAGGACAGACGCATGACGACAGAATTACGTCATACAAAACCTTATCCAGTAGGCAGTAGCATCATCTACGCGTGATATTTGTAAAATTTCGACTTTTTCAAACTTCCACATTTTTGGGTGTAAATAGGGTTCCAAAGAGAGTCGGTCACTTTTTTGTTTTTCACCCACATTATGACGTCATACTGTGTATCTATAACGAACAGGGGGACCGTGTTCACCAATTCGTCATTTTGTCCCAGGGCCCGTGGTTGGCTCTCCCCGGCCTTGATTGTCTGCACAAGACAAAACGTGCAAATTATCACTAAACTTACAAAGCCACTTTCGTCTAGGAAAACGAACATTTCTGCTGAAAAAAAATTAAAAATCGACCTTACCGAACACAAAGCCATGCACACAAAACATATAATAGTTTGGGATAAATTTGGTATGATAAGCATTTAGTATTTGCATACTCTATTTCGAAACCAGAGATTTCGAACGTAGTCGGTAGTTCGTTGCCAAACGACAGCTATCAATGATTACGACATTAATCCTATAGCACAACAGAAATTAATAATTAAAAGTCTAGCAGGGGGTTTAGACTTCGTCCAAACTCTGCACGTTGACAACGGCAAATTTATATTTGGAATGGAAGGTCTTCCGTTTAAGCAGCGTGAATTAATATGTAAAGACGGCGAGTCGGCGACGTCAGGACGACGGTTATCAATACAATGACATTAATCCTATCGCACAAAAGAAACTAACAATTAAAAGTCTAGCAGAGGTTTTCAGACTTCGTCCAAGCTCTGTTAACGGCGGCAAAATGTATATTTTCACGTTTCATATAGTATGGTAGCATTTCAAGTCGTGACATGAGGTAGTTGTTCTAGCAGAGTTGATCAACATTGCATGCTCTGAAGGTTAAAGCTCTGTTTTACTCGAAGGTTAAAGCTCTGTTTTACTCTATTTTAAATTCATACGAAAGTAAGGTTAAATTACAATAGAACTCAAAGTTTATTAAATTATGAGCAGTGCAAAACGAATTTCGAGAACGATTTCCTGATTAGAATCCTCCCACTAAACACATGCACAATCTCAAATAAAGGCGAAAGTACAAAAAGTGTTTTCGTGCATACTATAATGCGAATCAATTGACCATTTGCGTAATAGACTAACTTTTGATCTCAACAAAAATTTCATCACAGCTTAAAAGAGCATCACAAAATTAGTAATATTCCAAAGTTTCGTTGCGAAATGTTGTAAAATGCGGAAAATATAGCCTTGCGAAGTTTGCCGTTTTTCAGTCATTTTAGATTACAAACGGGAAATTGATGCCCCAACACCCGATTGGGCTGTCAATTTCTCGTGCGTAATACAAAATGACTGAAAATTTCAAACTTCGCAAGGCTATATATTATCCGCATTTTACAACATTTCGCAACGAAACTTTGGAATATTACTATTTTTGTGATGCTCTTTCAAGCTGTGATGAAATTTTTGTCTAGATTTTGTCTGACTTGTTTAGATCAAAATTTAGTCTATTACGCAAATGGTCAATTAAAGTTGTCAAACTAATACAAAAGGTTACGGCTAATTTGAATTTGCCGAAAGGGTGTACATGCATTTTTTTAATGCACCTGTATAACAAACGGTGTATACACTAGTTACATATTGTTATTTTTCTGTTAGTATATACAGCTATGTGCAAGTTATATGTACAATAATGTGTGGTTATTTGCATGTGTGCCAAATAAAGCTGTTAAATTAGAAAAAAAATTAAAATTTAATCCTATGCATATTCTGTCAAAATCTATCTGGAATGTTTTTAGAGTGGAAATTTAGGCTACACGTCCGCGCTTGAAAATATGCAACTGATATACTGTGAATCTTACAACGTATATATATATATATATATATATATGGTTCGTTACTGCAGGAGTCGGTCAGTTCGATCTGCGTTTAAAAACACACGCACTAACATCGCGGAACAATCGTGAAGTTGTCCATTGTTTAATAAGGTCGTTTGTTTCAGCTGGGAAAATAACTCACTTAATTCTGGGAATGCTATCCACACGCGTTGTCAAGGCGACTGCATACACCATGTCATCATGATAAAGAGCATGCCATGAGACATGTCCAAGTCATTTCATTTTATTTGCCCATATGGAAAAGTTAATATTTACAGTACGGCTTACAAGTATACAATACTGATGACGCGGGACTTGGAGCCTTCATGAAACCCTTTCAGGCTTTTTTGTTCACTTTCCCACTTCCGCTTCTGTAAACTTGTTTTGCAAATCTGTAAATGTTACTTTACTTCCTTTAGCTTTACATCAATTTGTAGCAATCAGATAAACCAGTTTTGTTAGATTATTTGCATGCACCTATACTCTATAGCAATATTTGCTGATAAATCGGTTTCTATAAACCGCCGCTGATAATTAGTTAGCTATACAGAATTCAAATACCGACGTTAAGGAAACCGAATTCCGACAGTGACCTATAGTGTGGCTTGAGGAATGACTTTGGTTTATAACTATGTGTAGCTAAAATATAAATGTGTTTACTCATGTATATAGTAAATTGTATACTCGAAATACTTAAATTTTGTGCATTTACTTTAATCTTGGGCATAACAAGAAAAAATGTGTTTAAAAAGAGATGCTCGGATGCAATGCTGCCGTCTCGTTTGATGAAAAAGATTAATGAAAAACCTGGAAATATTCTAATTTCTTATCTTGACTATACCCAGTAGAAAGCACACGTAAAGACGCTATATAGTTGTTACAATGTTTTTGTCAAGCCGATATCAGGATGTGTTCTCGCTGCTCGTTCCCAGCTGTTGTAACAAGTCTGGAACAAGATGTTATCACCTTGTTATACAAGATTGATGACGGTAACAGACTTGCTACAAGTTGTTCCAACAAGACTGATACAAGCTGTTCGTAACAATTGAGATGCATGCTACGAGCTTGTTGTCATCATGAACTTGTTAACAAATTATAATATTTTTGTTTGTGGAAACACCACGTAAATTTATTACTGCAAAGCTTTCGATTCGTAAGCCAAGATCTTCATCAGTGCTAATAATATGTGACTTGTTCAATAGGCAATTCCAGCTATTAGTTTATGCGTGCAGGGGACGATGGGAAGTAAGGTATCATATTGCTGATTATGCTGAAAAAATAAAAATGGTGTCCGTGTAAACACGGAGTGATCGCTTATACTTGTAAATATTGAAATATTTCGGTTGTTTCGGTAGTTTTTATTGAAATTTTTCAGGATAATCAGCAATATGATACTTCCCATCATCCCCTGCAGGCATAAACTAAAAGCTGGAATTGCCTATTCACACGCCATTTTACTGTCAAAGTGTCGTGATTTGTATGTATATATGTTTACATCTTATGGTGTTTATAAATATTATATGTTTTATAACCATGAAAACCTACAAAAAACGTACGTATTCTTAACAAATTGTTATACGTGCTGACTTAATTAACGCACAAGTCACACGACTGCAAACAAGTTGTTATATTATATACAAATCTGTTCACAAGCTGTTGACAAGTTGTGTTCGCACTGCTTGTTCCCATAGTAGTTGCATGTAAAAAGTTAAGTGCATGAAACAAGCTGTTATAATTATAATAATTTGTAAAACAAGGTTCATGGCGTTATCAGACTTGTTATACAACTGAAGTTTTCTTTAACAAGTCACTGTCAAGCCAAGATATAACAAGAATGTTTCATGGGGATTATAACCGTTAACATAAACATATAAAAGACTAGCTATATATATATATATATATATATATATATATATATATATATATATATATATATATATATATATATATATATATATATATATATATATATATATATATATATTAGCTATAGTGCTCGGTGCTGTGGAACACCCTTCAGCCGAGCTATATGACATGGATATAGGATAAAACTTTTATAATTTGACTATAGTCTATACGCTGGCCACTTCAACCAAGGCAAAGCTGCTTTCCAAGTGGGGCGTAGATCATTTATGTTACAAAAATATATAAAATACAAAATCACTAATAATATTAAGAGCTACGAATACAAAATACATATTACATATTACAAAATAAATGTGAAATGGTAACAGAGGACCGAAATATTTCTTTTGAAAGAATTTAAAAATCTAGTTCGCTGTTCCACCACAATTGCATGCAGGGGCCAGTTGAGATTGCCCAGGCTCATCTTTAAAGTTCATTATAATTCTAGCACGTCTGTTGGGAAGTTTTTGTATAGTAGTTCAGAACTGGCCTTTATATTGATGGAATTCCCAACTTAGCAACAGTAGTCGAAATGGGGTTGGACAAGACCATAATAGACCGGCTGACATCAAAGACAAAGTATCGCGGTATCAGTAAGAGCTAACACCTGACAGTAGACTCCAAGTCTCTCTTTCATTGTCATATAGTATTGATCCACCTTTGTGTACATTACATGACGTATTTCAGAGAGGCGGAGCGAGAAAGAGAGACTTTGTCAACTTCGGAAAATCTCGGTTCAAAACTGAACCGAAAATGCAAGATCAAAACATATAAACACTGACAGAAAACAATTAAAGCAAGTCTTGCATTTTCGGTTCAGTTTTGAATCGAGATTTTTCGAAGTCAGTAACAAATCTCTCTTTCTGGATCCGTCTCTCCGTGCTACGTCATGTAATGTACACTATAGTGGATCACTGGATCGATAATATATGACAATGAAAGAGAGACTTGGAGGAAGTTTAGCATGACAGCACCAAATTTATAACATAATTTTCAATTTTTTTTGATAATAAGATAATTTTTAAATTTTTATACAGCCCTTATGCAAAACAAGTATATTTATAAATACATTTATAATATAGCATTTGTAAATTCTGAACGCTGATTGGCTAAGAGCCGTGTTGATATAACTCAATAGCGAGCTTACCATGTAGGACGGAAACACGACGACGATGGCCAAAACAAATTCCTTCAAATAAATGATAGTAAGGAAAACTTGTCGTATATTATAATTCGTATGAATTTAATACAGTATAAGAAGTTGAAAACATTGGCTTTATGTTTGGGAAGAGTTCTACTGAACCGAATTTTAAGTTGCACTTGTTACGGCTTGAAATGCAGGCGTTGTGTAAACGACGTGAAATTCTGTGATTTGCCGTTGTAAACAGAGCGACATGCAACTACGTCTGAAACTCCCCTGGGACTTGTAAATCAACACGGAAAATTTTTATATTTGTTAAATGTACATGCAGCTATACAGGGTGTCTCAAAAAAACCCAAAATCATTGAAATTGACGTATTGTTCGATATTCAATGCCCTAGCACTAAGTTAATCCCACGAGTGCATAAAAGATTGACATAACTGCTATAATGAATGGTAATACTCAGCGTAAACTTGTTATGTCAGGCATAAAGTACTAAACCCACGAATGCATATTACGCATATTACAATTTACGAAGCATTTTAAATTCCCATGAGCAAACAAACGTTCACTTTACAAAGATATTTTAATTTTTTAAAACAAATTAATCACCCTGTCAAAATCCTTTGTGTTACGGCATTGAAATTCGAACAATACGTTATTTCAATGATTTTGGGTTTTTTTGAGACACCCTGTATAATATTTGTAATATGTTATATGTAATTCTCCATTGAACTCTGTAAAATCCTGACGAGTTTATCATGGTTAAATAAAGTTCACTTACTTATTTACTTACTTCCCAGCGGGCAAAATGACGTTTATCCAACGTTGAATCAACGTTGGAAACGACCTTCCAGACGTTGGATAGACGTTGAAAAAGGGTTGACTATGCAAATTGGATCGACGTTACTGTTTCGACGTTGAAACAACGTTGAAATTAGGTTGCCAATCACGTCAACCATAATTCAACGTTGAATCCACGTTAAAACAACGTTGAGATTGGTTCACAAATCGACGTCGTACATTTAACCATGAATGAACGTTAATTCAACGTCTGTTGGCTGCTGTTGAACCAATGTTTGTAAAACAACGTCTGAGCAACGTAGATATTAGGTTGTCGACGTCGCAACCTTTTTTCTACCAAATTTCAACGTTGAAACAACGTCGTGTGCCCGGTGGGTTACTGACTTGTTGACAGATGCTGAGACGCAATGCGGCGCGATAGGTACGCTAAATTATCATAAAAAGTACAAGGAAGTTGTGCATTTAATCACTATGATTTAATCATGGCTCTTTGTTTGCGAGTTAAGCTGAAGCGGCTAAAAATATAGACATTTATATCCGGCCCATTCGATGCCAAGGTGTGACACTGAGCATGCGATGCTTGGGTATATTTACGAGAACACAACGCTGTAAGCTTTATTCACTTCTTGCTCGGCAACCTAGTTGGACATCTCAATTGCTTTTGTGAACATTTTACTGTTTTCAGGTAAGTTGTAAGCAGGTTGTATGCGACAGTTTTAGGCAAAACTCAAAAGTTGTACATGCAGTGTAACAGTAAATCGGCCTTTATGCATGACCATTATATATATTGGACCATTAAAGTATTTTGCTAGCCCTAAATCAATCTACGAGAGTTAAAATTCTCGTAATGTCCGCGATCGAGGGATGCATATTATCGTACAAGAAAATGTTTTGCTTACGAATCGTTGCGAAGGATTTTGGATTTTTTTGCCAGATTTTAATTGAAAGATGTTTCTGGCAAGATTTTACCATTTTGAAGAGCTTGTGCATATACGGAAAGAGTTTTTCGCACTTTAAATCGGGAATTCTATATAGGCCTATATACTGCAGTAAATTCATATTCTGGAAAATAATTACTATATATAATCTACAATTTTACGACTTGTTTTGTAGTAAACGACGATGAAGCCTATCGCTGCTTTGGCAAGCTTGATCCTTCTTGCTCAGATAATGAGCATCAATGCAGTTTACACCAAACTTGATGCGACATTTGGAAAGCAATGTCCAGCTGGTATGATCGGCTAAATATTATTTTTTTAATCTCACCTAAATATATACCCATGTTTTTGGGCCTGTTTTTGTTAGCCATGCAGTAATCACATTATATATAGGTATATATAGGGTTACCCATGCACCAGGCGGGTCATGTTTTATTCGCCTTATACAAAGCCAAAGGTTTAAATTAAATAACATAATTTAACGGAATCGACATGTTACGCGTGGCGGTTGAGAAACACAAAATAATAGTTAAATATTGTCAATTTAAATGAAAAGTGTTCAAAACCTAAACTTTTTTTGCTCTCAAAATTCGCTCCTCTCAAAATGACTTTGTTTTAGCTTTACATTATATATAGTTTATACAATTAGCAACCTTTTTGAACATATCTGGTCAATTGAAATAAAATTATTATTGATGCTGTAAAACTGACACCACATTTATCACAGCAATATATATAAGCAAAACTTACTGAACTTTGCTCTTTATAGACCGGTTGTTTTCTCTTTGGCGATCTAAAATTTCTTTATTTTAGCATAATTCGCAGGTAAAGCAGTATAAGCATACACTGTATATACTGTTGTTGTTATACATTATTGTTCGCCGCTTGCGGGACGTATCGAAAATTACAAAAATTGAATTATACAAAAATTAATAATACACAAAAGATTCTCCTCCTAAAATACGAAATTTGTGAGACTATGGACAAATTACCACTTATTTAGAAACTCTATACTAACATTTTAACACACTATGCAATAGCGCTAGCGCGTAACGCACTTTGAAGATAGGCTAGATAGCACATCTATATGAATCTATAAGTCATGAAATAAACATGGGTTGGTTAAATTTGGAAAAAAATTAGATGATAAATTAGCAAAAGCTTGACTTTCTTTGTCTGGCGGGGTAACTGGTTAATTGTATAATTTGTACATACAATCTCAAAGCCTTTATGTATAGCTACAACTTTAAAAATACACTGACAGACCTGCCAAGTCTCACGATTTAATCGCGAGACTCACGATTTTTGATGCTTTCTCACGATCTCACGATTAAGTCCCCAAATCTCACGATTTTCGGAACTTATGAAATCATCGAAGAGCGCAACTTCTAGTTACAATAAGGCACACTCGGCAAGGAAACATCACACTTTATTCAGTGTATTAATAATGCGCAATGTACAATTGCGTGAATGACCTGACAATGCGTGATGTTTGTGTTACAAAGTAAAAGGCGCGTCCTGCTAAGTTTATTGTCCTGCTTAATATTCACTCGTAGTTTTCTTGTTTTTGTACAGATATTGCGTTATATTTCCAAGGAACTCGTACTGACACTGGAAGCTACTAAAGCCATAAAGAAAAAACAGCCTATTTTTAATAAGCCTTGCTTTTACGGTTATATTAACAAAATGATAAATGCATACTATCATAAGATTGAACCCTCAACCCTGGTCATATTAATGAGCAAGTCTCACGACTTTCTAGATGGCAACTCACTATTTCTGCCAAGGATTGGCAGGTCTGCACTGAAATACTATGTGATCTTACATCACACGTTTCCCTCTCACTTTATATAAATTATTCTGTAGGTTCTGGTATGACAAAAATAGTAAGCTACTACAGCAGTGGTTACAAAGACCGCACATGGGCTTTCTACTGCAGAAAAGACTCGAAAGTTACAAGCATCTGTCATTGGTCGAGTTGGTTAAATTGGTACGAGAGCGAATTACTGTACCAATGCCCATCTGGGGTTCTCACAGGTAATGTACAAAGTAACCGTCCCTAACTATACAGCTATAAGTCATATTATGTCTTGTAATTGCCAGCGATTTTAGCCCCCCACTAAGTGATCTAAACTGATCAAAACCACTGAAGGACTAACAACTTGTTGGAGTATTCTTGTCGCCCATTTTCTACCCGAAAGTGTATAGAAATACAGTTTTCGAGCCTCAATTTTTTAAATGGTAGGAAAAATGTGCATGTGTTTATAACGATCTGTTCGACACTGCGATTTGCGACGATTGTATATAGTCTATAGCAACATTGTTTCTGGTTGAATAATTTAGCCAGTAGTCAGTTTTCTGATTGCGTCGAATGCAATGATTCGGACAACGAAGCTTAAGCCTAGTTTCCATTTGGTCGTTAGTTGTCGCTAGCACGACAAGTGGCTGATGTAATAGAGTGTCAACAAAACTTTATAAAACTCTGTAATCATTAAGATTAGTAAGACTGATTTGCATATAACACACAAAAAGACTATTAGACTATTTCACATCTACCGCTTGTCGTGCCAGCGACAACTAACGACCAAATGGAAACTAGGCTTTAATGAGGTTTATTATCTCATTATCTATTCAGTCTTAATTATATTCGACGCGACCAAAATTCGACGTATAAAACTTGGCCTAACATTTCATGATTTTCATTCATCAGGTGTGTACTCGACCCATAACAATTATTACCAAGACAGAAGATTTCGATTCAGATGTTGCCAGACTAAAAAAGTTTGTCAATACAATTGCCGTTGGACTAGTTACGTCAATACCTTCAAAGGCCGGAAAAACTATATGGTACCATATGGCTATTTTATCACTGGGGCAAAAAGTCATCACAACGACCGCCACGAGTAAGTTCAACATTCATAATTCTTCCCAGGAGGTTTTGATTTCATCTTGGGCGCGATTATAAGTGTTGCAATTAATGTTGTTAGACTTTCGCAAAGAGGGCTTCGCGACTTCATCATAGTACGCGATTCAACTTAGTAATAGCTGAAGTCGATTTGGGAAAAGTCTACATTGTTGTGAATAAGTGTGATACTTTTTCGAGGGCGGTGTTTTTTTATTAATAATTTTGCTGTCATATGCAGTGCTTATCCGGGAACTGAGTTAACCGAATAAATTCGGTACTGGTTGGGTCTGAGTTAGCCTCCTCCGCAGGCAACTCTTGTGGCATCCCAAGTGGCAAACGTTTGAAAAATCCCCATCCAAAAAAGCAATATTGTCACGAACGGCGAATTAATGCTGTTTTGGCCGAGTAGTAATAAAATTCCCCTTAATTTTATTACTACTCGGCCAAAACAACATTAATTTGCCGTTCGCGACATGTGCAGTATTGCTCTTTTTGGATGGGGATTTTTCAAACGTTTGCCATTTGGGTTGTCACAAGAGTTGCCTGCGGAGGAGGCTAGGTTTGAGTGGGCGTTATACTCATTATATATGACATCATCGTCACCTCTCTTTCGTATTTTTTTAGGGACAGAGTATGGCGATTCTTGATATGTCGTTTTCAATAAGAGTCCTTGATTAATGAAATCCTGAAGGCCAAGCAACCACTGACCATTTTCTATGTTTTACTTACTTTTCTATCTTTTATATATGAATTGTTGATTAAAGCAAATTGCTGCATACTCATTTTTTTCTTATTGATGTAATTTGAATGAACGTTTATGTATTTGTAATAATGATTAATGATCTTTCTTTCATGTTTACGAGTAATGAATTGAAATAAAAAGCAATAAATTCCATTCATCGTGTAGCTACTGTTCAATTATAAGTATATATAGATGAATTCTTGAGTGAATATATATATACTTAGTATTTTTGCACAAGTGAATATAACATGCAAATCTTATAAGTTGATTGGTCAAATTTGACGTATTAAGCTATTATATTCACCTACAAGTGAATATAACAAAACCGAAATTTGCAATCATGACGACCCGCACGCCTATAAATTGAATTATCTTGAAGGTGTTAGTTACCACAGCATTATTAGTCGAGGTGGTAAGAGTGGTGACATGTATAATAAATTTATAGTGAAATAATTTATGCGTGCATGAAATTTAACCCCATAGACATGATGTAGCAAATAACTAACTGAGCTAACATACAAACCAGGTTGTCATCACCAATTCATAATAATGTTAGCAGACAATGCCGCGCAAAGTTCAAATTGCGCCAAACCGGTCTGAAGAAGAGTGCATTCTGCTTGACAATCGTGTGTATGGATTCAGGATGGAGATCAAGATCGAACAAACTGGCAATATTTTGATGGCTGCTTATTAAAGAATAAAGATTAAAGATTAATGCGAAGTATTTTCAATCAGTAAGGTTAGGTAATAGTCAAAAGGCTATAGCCTATAGGTATTACAGCACACATCAGTTATTATTTCTTTAGTATACAGTATGCTAGATACCACGGCTTTCAAGCAGGGCTATCACAACGGCGAGTTGATTGTACTGCATTCGTTATTTAATATACTCATTTCTATATTTTGATACAAGGTAGCTCAAGACAAATAATATTTATTTACATATATATACCGGGTGGCGCAAAAAAAGTTCAGGCGTTTGATCTACCATAGCGAAAAAACTGTAAGAGCTATACATCGCTCAAATAAATGTAGCTGTATTCATAAAAGGCTAACTTAAATTTTGATAGGTTATACATGAGATATCACGAAATATTGACTGAGATATCAGCGTTCAAATTAAACTTGCGTATAAGCATTTTCAAAAGAATCGAAAATTAGTCTAAAATGGCCCATTGAACTAAATTTGATATCATTCTCATTAGACATTACGCTGGGCATCGCCAGATTATATATTTCCCGGGCGAGCTAGCGATGAGTAAACACGGAGATGAGCCGTACCCCTGGCTTTCAGATTTGACAATATCCCGCAATATTTTTGTGGCTATACCTATAGAGCATAGTTGAAATATCAAATTTGGAGTATGCCACATCGACAGCGCTAGGTTTTGGAATAATATCTAGAATACTTTTAGTGAAAACTCTTGTGTCAGAAAGATATCCCATCTTTTGCTGACAGGTTATGAAGATGTCCCATCTTTTCTTAACCAGTGGAAGCTTAAAAGGAGTCTTATATTATTCTTTACATCAGGCTAATTTAGAGTAAGGCGATACAGCTTGCGCTATAGGTTTTGGAATAATATCTAGAATACTTTTAGTGAAAACTCTTGCGTCAGAAAGATGTCGCATCTTTTGCTGACAGGTTATGAAGATGTCCCATCTTTTCTTAACCAGTGGAAGCTTAAAAGGAGTCTTGTATTATTCTTTACATCAGGCTAAGTTAGAGTAAGGCGATGCAGCTTGCGCTATAGGTTTTGGAATAATATCTAGAATACTTTTAGTGAAAACTCTTGTGTCAGAAAGATGTCGCATCTGTTGCTGACAGGTTATGAAGATGTCCCATCTTTTCTTAACCAGTGGAAGCTTAAAAGGAGTCTTATATTATTCTTTACATCAGGCTAATTTAGAGTAAGGCGATACAGCTTGCGCTATAGGTTTTGGGGTAATATCTAGAATACTTTTAGTGAAAACTCTTGTGTCAGAAAGATGTCCCATCTTTTGCTGACAGGTCATGAAGATGTCCCATCTTTTCTTAACCAGTGGAAGCTTAAAAGGAGTCTTATATTATTCTTTACATCAGGCTAATTTAGAGTAAGGCGATACAGCTTGCGCTATAGGTTTTGGGGTAATATCTAGAATACTTTTAGTGAAAACTCTTGTGTCAGAAAGATGTCCCATCTTTTGCTGACAGGTCATGAAGATGTCCCATCTTTTCTTAACCAGTGGAAGCTTAAAAGGAGTCTTATATTATTCTTTACATCACGCTAAGTTAGAGTAAAACGGTGCATGGCTGGATGCAGCGATAGCGCTAGGTTTTGGAATAATATCTAGAATACTTTTAGTGGAAACTCTTGTGTCAGAATGATGTCCCATCTTTTGCTGATAGGTTATGAAGATGTCCCATCTTTTCTTAACCAGTGGAAGCTTAAAAGGAGTCTTATATTATTCTTTGCCTCACAACGCAGGCGCGGGCGTAGATTCCGTAGATTAGCAATAAGACAATGGTGTCAATGCAGCTATTGTTTTTGGAATAATATATACATTTGATATATACGTTGGTGAAAACGTTTGTACCAGATTCATGTGCGCACTAGGGCCTATAGGGAAAGGCGGTATAATTATATAACTTTATAAGTCAGTTTCTTTATTATTAGCCATAGAAAACTTACGCCTTTGAAGCCGGACTTTTTATACTGCCAAGATCTAAAACGGCAAATATGTTCCGCGGTCTTGACATGGAATTATCGTGCTATTCTCAAAGATACCAAGAACGTTTTGTTTTACAACAGACAAGTCTTAATATTATTACATATTATACGCAGCCTTATTACACATTGTACGCTATATAGTATAGACTGGCCCTAGGTGACTTGTCAACAGTCAGCATTGTGACATATTTGTACACTTTTATTTTAATGCATAACA